ACCATTTCTACCCCCCTTGCCAATACACATACATTGTGAATTCATGAAACAGAGTTAAGAACACCAGGGTTCTGCTACTTAATGGGGTGGAACCAAAGGCAAATCACAACCCTTCTGGGTCTCAGTTTCCCCATTTGTAAAATGAAGGGGGTTGGACTCCATAATCTCTGTGGTCCCTTCTATCCCTAAACTTAAGCTCCTATTAATGAAAAGGAATAAGGAATTCTTGAGCAGCTAGCTATTTAAAACAGACACTCTATTCTACTACAATTGTAGGTAATCTGTGGATGCAGACTACACGTGGGGTAACTTAGTCGTACCTTATCTCCTGTTATTCAGTTCAATTTGGCCATTTTCCACATAGATCAGGTTTTCATAATCCTTTCTAGTTCTGATTTAAGATCCCTCACCCTTATTTCCTCCTCCTCCTCAGTCCAAAGCCAGGGCCCAGATTCCCGATCACTCCACAAGGTTAGTTAATTAACCCTCCTCCCTCAGCAATTTCACTTAATTACGTGTCTGTTTCTGGACACGCAGTCACTTGGCTGGCAACACTGAGCCCCATCTCTCTTCTAAAACCTGACTCCACGGTTTTTCCAAGACTGCATTAGTTTCTTTACAACATGATGCATACCCTGCTAGGTGGCACGGACCTTCTAATTTCCCATCCCTCAGTCCCCGCCTCTGTGGAGTCGTTTTTTTTTTTTTTGCTTTTTGGTGAGGCAGTCAGGATTAAGTGACTTGCCCAGGATCACACAAGAGTGTCTGACGCTGGATTCCAGAACCAGCACCCTATCCAGTGTTCCACCAAGGTGTTTTCTCTCTCTGTGGCACCCTTTTGAAAGCTCCCTGATTGCTAAGGCTATCCCCATCATAGCCGGTTTACTGCTATCTTTCAAAGCTGCTTCAATTTATTTTAAAAAAATTTTTTATTTACTTCATTAAATATTTCCCAATTATATCTAAATTTTAAAAATATATATTTTTATTTACTTCATTAAAGATTTCCCAATTATATGTAAATTTTATTTATTTATTTTGCAAGGTTTTTTTTTCTTTTTAGGCAATTGGGATTAAATCACTTGCCCAGGGTCACACAGCTAGTAAGTGTCAAGTGTTTGATCTGAGGCTGGATTTGAACTCAGGTCCTCCTGACTTCGGGGCCGGTGCTCTATCTACTGTGCCACCTAGCTGACCCATATATGTAAATTTTTAAAAAATATATTTTCATTTACTTCATTAAATATTTCCCTATTACATGTAAATTAAAAAAAACCTAATTTCTTAAAAAATTATTTATTTTTTGTTTTCAACATTCACTTTTATAAGATTTTGAGTTCTAAATCCCGCCCCCCCTCCTCCCCCAGACTGTTTAGGTGAGTGAGCCAAGCAAGTGACATGGAGACCTCTCCCAGCCGTCTCCATAGGAGGTAACGACTGCATGAATGAACTAACATCAGAGAAGGCTAATCCCTAACCTGGAACACACTCCCTCGACGTCCCCTCCTTCTTTGGCCCCCCACCATCTGTCAGGGTGACAAAACCGGACCGTGCGCTCTGAGATGCCCTTGCCCACCGTATGAGGTGGAGGCACAGGAAAGGGAGGTCTGTCCTGAACGCGATGGCAGCACCTGGGCTGAAGTAGTGCTCACGGGGCACAGGACGCAGGGGCAGGGTGAGGGGGCTGAGCTGCGCTGTGCCGCTTGTCTCCACAGAAGGTGCGGTGAGGGCAGGACACTGCAGCAGCAGCAGCAGCAAGGGAACAGGGGAGTAGATCTCAGCACAGGCAAGTGGGGAAAAAGACTTAAAATTACTGAAGATCTCACGAGGAAGAAAACTCAGTTAAAAACCTCGGGTACAAGCAAACAGAGGGAGAGAGAATTTATAATGGGAGATGAGGACCCAGCCTTCATCCTCGGACCCTATTACTTATTATTTACTTATTTATTACTCTTTCTCTAGTTCTACCCAGGCCACCACACCCTCATCCTTCCAGCTGCCCAGTTCACAGACCTTGGCGTCACCCCCAACTCCACACACTCACTCGCCCTCTCACACGCCTGGTCTGCTGCCAGTTCTCATCATTTCTACCTGTGCGGCATCTCTCCCCACTCTCCCCCTTTTCTCTATTTATATACTTACCCACCAATTTGATACAAGTTCTCATTACCTCAGCCAGACTGCTGCAATACCTTTCTAATTAACCCCTGCCTCAATCCTGCGCCACTCCAGTCCATCCTCCACCCAGCTGCCAAGGTGGTTTGTCCTAAAGCCTTGGTCTCACCACGTCAACCTTTCCTCCCCTCATAGGCTTCCTGCTTACTCACTACATTCCACCTTTTTTTTTTTGGCTAGGCAATGGGATTAAGTGACTTGCCCAGGGTCACATAGCTAGTGTTATGTGTCTGAGGCCACATTTGAACTCAGGTCCTCCTGAATCCAGGGCTGATGCTCTATCCACTGCCCCATACATTCCACCTCTTACCTGAATGCTTTTGCACTGGTTGTCTGACATACCTGGAATGCTCTCCAACCCACCTCACTTCTGCCTCTTAAAATCCCTTATCTCCTCCTTCACAACTCAGCTCAAATAAATATCACTGCCTCCAGGAAGTCTTCTACAATCTCCCCACCTCATAATGCCCTTCCTCTCAGATTACCTTGTATTTATTTATCTGTTCTGTATATACTTATGAGTAGAGATATACAATACATATGCAAAAAACATCCATCCAAAGTCCTGTAGAATGAAATGTGGGGGATACGATAATTCATCATGGAAAGAAGAAAATCATCATTTACTGAGTACCTACTGTGTGCCAGGCACTATATTAAGCAGTTTCACAAATATTATCTCATTTAATTTTCAAGATAATCCTGAGACAGGTGCTATTACTGCACCCATTTTATAACTGAAGAAACTGGGACAGGCAGAGGTTAAGTGACTCATCCAGGGTCACACAACTAGCAAGCGTCTGAGGCTGGATTTGAACTCAGGTCTTAATGACTCCAATTCCAGCATTTCATTCATTGTACCACACAGCTGCCTCAGCTCAGTATGACCATGGAGTATTTACTATCAAAACAAACAAAGGACCTCCAAAAATCTTTAGCTTCAAAAGATTACCCATGCCAACATTTTCCTCACACAGATTCACTCGGTAACTCCTGGCAAAGTACTTACAAAAGCATGGGGAATTTAAAGATATGATACATTTTTCTTTTACAAAAAGAAAATTTCCCAAATTTGCTGACATTTTCTGTGAATCATATGCTACCTAGTAGATATTTAAGAAAAGATAATATGCTTAATTTGTCCCTTAATTAAGCAGTTGGAGATGCAATTAAAGCACTGAGTTCAAATGAGATCTCAGACACTTAATAGCTATGTGACCTTGGGTAAGTCATTTAACCTTTGCCTACCTCAGTTTCCTCACTGGGGATCATAGCAGCCCTGCCTCGCAGGGTATGAGATAATATTTGTAAAAAGTGCTTAGCACAGTGCCTGGCACACAGTAGCTGCTACATAAATACTTATTCCCTCCATTCCTTCAAAGTAAACATGTTTTACAATTTTTTAATTGATACCTCATTTTTACATCTCTTTCCTTTCCCAATATATTTCTACCTTCTCCCTCCCAGAGAGCTAACCCTTTTAACAAAGACTTAAAAAGAAAGAGGAGGAAAAAAGTTCAGCAATATTAATCAAAATATCGATCAAATCTGAAAGGATGGTCCGTGTTCCACCTCCATGATCACCTCCCTCCATCTCTGTGGAGATGGCAAGGAAACCCATCCTCACAGCTCAAGCACTGTCATTGTAATTACATAGCACCTAGCATTTCCACTTTTCTTCCCATTGACATTGTTGGAGACTGTCATTGTGTATATTGTTTTCATGGTGCCTCTTACTTCACTTTGCACCAGTTTTTGTCTTCCCACGTATCACCATAGTCTTTATCTTCGTTGCTTTCTATGCTGTGGTAATACACTCATGTACCACAATTTGTTTAGTCCTCACTCTCTAATTAGTGGGGTTAATTTTGCCCCTAGCTTTTTGCTACCAAGAAAAATGTTGCTATAGACATTGATATGTTGGATACCTCCCACCCCTATCTCCCCCTCCCCCCGCCCCCGCTCCAATCTTTGACCTCCCTTCAGTACATGCCAGACAGTGGGATCTCTAGACCAAAAGTTATGGAGAGTTTAATCACTGTCTTAGCAGATTTGCAAAAATTTTCCCCCCAAGAATGGTTGGACCAATGCACAGCTCCTCCAACAAGGTATCAGTGTGCCTGCCTTTCCAGAATGCCTCCAACATACTCCCACTGTTTGTCATCTTTCCCAATTAGCTGGGCAGGAAGTAAAACCTCAAGAGTTGTTTAGATTTGTATTTCTTCTTATTATTATTACCATAATATGGAGTAATCATTCACATACTCAGTACTGGTCTACAATTCATCCCCATGAAACTGCTCACATCCTTGGACCACTCCTCCCCTGGGGAATGGCTTTTGGTGCAATATCTCTGTGTTAATTCCCTCTACGTCAGGGAAGATGGAAATTTACTAGCTGAGTTTCAATAAAAGCCTTTGCATAATGGGTGGATCAGACTGAAAGTAGAGTACTGGAAGTAAGGAAGGACAGCTCATGACGTACTTTTTCAAACTGGACCTATGAATATCTTTTCCAGCTCTGCTAGTCATTAAAGTCAATGACCAAAGCAGACTGTATGTGTATACATTTTACAAGAAAGCTTAAATTTACTGAGGCATATTAGATCTTCTAGTTAGGGGTGTGTGTGATGAAGGGGTCCATTGCTCTATCCCACTAGGTCTTTCTGGCTCTTGCTTTGCACATGGCAGAAGCTTAATGAATGTCTGTTGAAATGGGCATATTCTAATAGCAGAAATGAGGAAAGTGGACATTTCTACTGGACACCGAGTTGGATTTTTCTTTTTACAGGCATACCCACAAGTATCCCCCAAGTCATCTTGTACCTCAGGAGCTGAAGACAGGAATGGTTTGATGTAGATGTTGGAGTCATGCACCTTCAGGTCATGGTCCCCAAGTCCTCTGGTTACACCAATAGTGGCCATCACCCGCGCCTAGGAGGAGGAGGAGGAGAAGCACAGGTCATCCAGAGCACTCAGCCACAGAGAACTCTCCCCTAAAAAACATACCCCACAAAACAACCAAAAACCCCACTGGAAACATAGCTGCTAAGAGTGGAAAGAGAATGTCCCACTTCTTCCTGTCAACCTTTCCACCTCCTTGGCTATCGACTGCAACCTTGCGCCTTTTTCCCTCTGCTACTTTCAGATGTTCATCTTTTGATTCATCTCTGTGACTGCTATTTACGCATTTTGCCCGAGGTTCTAATTCTCAAATCATCAACCGCCACTGCAATAGACCTTCATCTCCTCACAGCTACTGAAAATCCAGAAAAAAATACCTCTTGCTAGCAGAGACACTGGAACAGTCAAACAGTTCAGCATCACAAAGCTATAGGATTTTATCAATGGAAATGTCATGAAATAAGATGCATTACCATCTGCATTGCTACTCTTCCCTGAGGATTAGGGGGCCTCTCCATCTGAGCTGCAGCTGAACACTTCTATATATGTTGTCTTTCCCATTAGGCCCTGAACTACTAGACTGTCTCTGTTTTTTCTGTTTGTGTCCCAAGTGCTGTGCATAAAGTAAGCACTTAATAAATGCTTTTTCATTCATTCAACAACAATACATCACCCCCCCACCAAAGAACTGTGAATTGCGGGAGCTACACCCAGACTGGTGCAACTAGGCAGTGGGCCTGGAATCAGGAAGACCCGGGTTCAAATCCTCAGACACTTACTAACAAGTCACTAAACCCTGTCTGCCTCAGTTTTGTCATCCGTAAAATGAGCTGGAGAAGGAAATGGTAAATGACTCCAGCCTCTTTGCCAAGAGAACCTGAAAAGGGGTCATGGAGAGTTGGATATGACCTAATGACTGAACACCACCACCCAGATTAGGGGTCAGGGGATGTCCATGTTACAAAATAAGTGGGTTTTAGGTGTTTTTACTAAATTGTATAAGGAGGTAAAAGGAATCTCCTTCTCTCCCACCTTAGAAAACATGGATGCATACTGTGAAGGCCAGATTGGCTACCTGTCAAGGATGGTGTAGAAGGGATTCCTACATAGGGAGGGAGATTAGGCTAAATGATATCTAAGACTTCCTCTAATTTTGATATTCTATGATTCTAAGTTATGCTCTTTGGCGGAACAAGTTTTGAGTCCAAAGAAATCTCTGCTGTGTCTGTTTACTAGTTAATGGAGTCATCCTATGAATAGTCCAGATCCTACAGTCATAAATTCCTAAAAAAATAAAATAAACAATAATTGCCTTTGCATGAATCTTCTGGAAAGTAGGAGGGGGAGGAGAGAGGACAGAAGAATGAAATCCTCTAGGTTATTTGAGGAAGATTTAAGATGATTTAACTCTAATATTTTTAAGACTAAAATTTTTTGTATTCAAATAAAAAAAAAAACCCAACCATAGGGTATAGACTATTGTGGGATCACAGCAAGCAGAGAAACAGCAGTGATATGAGACCCTGGTGTTTTTAGTGTGATCCTAGGTTATATCTTACTGAGCTTGCTAGGATCAATGTCAATAATTACCAGGTTTGTTTACTACTATGCATCTGATGATACAGTGCTCTCTGAAAATTACTAAGGGTAAAGCCTCGAGTCAACAAAATGCTCAGGGAATGAATATAGTCTTCTGAGTTTTCTGTTTAGGTGAGGAAACATTTTATTTCAACCTTTGTTGTTGGAAATTTTGCCAAAATGTAGAAAGGACCACTTTATTGCCTCAGGAAGGACAGAAAAGCTTGTTTCTTTAAAAATTTTTTTTTATTATGAACTTAATAAACAACAAGAACATTTCCACATACGAAAAGAAAAAGATCTTACATGAAACTGCAAATCCCCGTGTATACTTAAAAAAAGCATATACAAAATTTAACATGATAGAATGAACACTACCAAGCCTGTCTGTGTCTTCTTCTGAGCTGTTCTCAATTCTGCGTGTTTTAAAAATGTTTCACTGACGCTCTTTTCTTTCTTTTTCTCCCCCATCATTATTACACTTGGCTTTAATTTCCCCTCCCTCTCCAAAAGCCTTCCTTTGTAATAAATTAACTATAGTCAAGCAAACTGCTCCACACACTGGCTGCATCTTCCAAAACTGTTTTCTTTCAGTACTGTAGTCATTGTATAGAAATTGGTCTCCTGGCTTTGCTCACTTCACTCTGTAGCGGCTTATGCTAGTCTTCTCAGGCTTCTCTCAATCTGTCCTTTCACCCTCCTCTTTGTCTTTACAAAGTAAGAGAAAGAAAAGGATCAAGACTAAGGATCTACAATAGAAGCAGTGTGTTCCTCCTTTGATCTCCTTTCAAAAGCCACTTAGTGATCCCACCTCTGATCTGTTCTGTCATTTTTGTTTGTTTTGTTTTTCCACTTGTGTCCCACTCTTTGTGGCCCCATTTAGGGTTTTGTTGGCTAAGATGCTGGAGTAGTTTGCTGTTTCCTTCTCTAGCTCATTTTTACAGATGAGGAAACTGAGGCAAACAAGGTGAAGTGACTTGCCCAGGGTCACAGCGCTTGTTTGTTGTTATTTAGTCATGTCCAGCTCTTCATTACTTCATATGGAGTTTTCTTGGCAAAGATACCAGATGGTTTGCCATTTCCTTATTTAGCTCATTTTTAGAGACGAGGAAACTGAGGCAATCAGGATTAAGTGACTTGCCCAGGGTCACACAGCTGGTAAATGTCTGAAGTCAGATTTGAACCCAGAAAGAGGAGTCTTCCCAACTTCAGGCTCTATTGTATTATCTGGCTGCCTGATCCACCTCTGAAGCTGGTTCATTTTGCTGGTGACTTCATCCTGGGTTTTACCCTCCCTCTTCCCATTTTCAAGTTGCTTAGAGTATTTAGACATTGAACTGTTATGTGTACACCCCTCCTTTTTCTAGTTAGGACAAGAGTAAGATTCATGCCCTCATTTGCCCCCATTACTTTCCTCCATGTTTGTATACTATTCTCACACACCCCAATTATGAGAAATAGCAAATTCCTCTCCCTTCTTCCTCATTTCTTCCCTTATGTATTCCTCTTTTCAAACCAACAAAAAACAAAACCATACCCAGTCCTTGGGTTTTTATGTTACTTATGTTATTCTCTTTAAGGATCACAGAACCATTTTCCTTTAGGAAAAAGCTATTTGGTATTTCCAGATTTCCGCTCCTTTATAGCAGCTGCAGCATATAGCCTTATGCAATCTGTACTGCGGTTCCGCAGAACTTGAACTCTTTCCTTCTGGATGCTTGCAGCATTTTTATTTTTATTTTTTCAACCTAGACGCTTTGCAATTTGGTTATGACATCCCTAGGCGTTTTCAGCATGGAGTTTCTCTGAGGTGACCAGCAGATCTGTTTTATTCTCATTTTGCCCTCTGATTCTGTTAGATCTAACAAAAAGTTTTCTTTTACGAATTCTTGAAATATCATTTCCAAGGCATAGTGGATAAAGTACTTGCCCTGCAATCAGGACGACTTAAGCTCAAATCCGGACTCAGACATTTACTAGCTGTGTGACCCTGGGTAAGCCACCAAACCCCAACTGCCCCCCCCCAAAAAGAAACATAGTTTCCCCATTTTCAGGGAGTCTGATGACACTGGTCTCTTCTTGACCTCTTTTCCTGGACAGTTATCTTTGACAATGGATACCTAACACTTCCTTCCACTTTTTCAATCTTTTGATTTTGTACTACTATTTCTTGTTGCCTCATGGGGTTACTGAATTCTTACTATGCCATTCTGTTTTTCATGGAGTACAATAACAACGACAATAACAGTAATAACATTTATATAGTCCTTATTATGCGCCAGACATTGGGCTAAGCAGTTTACAAATATTGTATTATTTTATCCTCTCAACAAACCTGGGAGGTGAATGCTATTATTAACTCTATTTTATAGATGGGGACACTGAGGCAGACAGAAGTGAAGTGACTCACTACTTGGATAAGGTTGCCTACTTTCTTTTTTCAGCTATGTATGTTCTATTTTCTTCCCCTCCATCAGAGTTTTATTTTCATTAAAAAAAGATCTCATTTCAGTTATTCTAGTTAATCTTTTTTGGTGAAGCAATTGGGGTTAAATGACATGCCCAGGGTCACAGAGCTAGTAGGAGTCAAGTGCCTGAGGCCAGATTTGAACTCAGGTCCTCCAGACACTAGGGCCGGCGCTCTATCCACTGCGCCACCTAGCTGTCCCTTCCCTCCTCATTACTCTGAAAGTCCTGTGGGTCAGCCATTCCTTTCTCTGGGTTCTATCTGACCTTGTCTGTAGCTACTTTGGTCTTCTGTGTGAAGCTCTCTGCTGTCTCTTAACCCATAGCATTTCTCGATGGTATTTGGTGTTTTCTTCTGTTTGCTCATTTCTAGGCTGGGACTTTGGCTTGGGGTCAGGCTCCTCCTTCTCCTATACTCTTGGATGGGGGGGTCGACCTTGTTTGGTCTTGTCTCCTTTGTAGCTTGCATCCTGCTGCTGTGGTCACGGCTGCCCCAATGTGGGTAACCCTCCTGCCTCCTCTTGCACAATCCCCAATCAGGAATTGGTTCCATTCCCTGTTATGGCCCTGACAGGCTTCCAGCTGGATGCTGGACACTGTGTTGATCTCTGGGCTCTTGCACGTTCCCTCCTTTGACACAGAGGCCTGGTCACTGCACTGGACTTATTTCCAGGCTTGCACTGGTTGGCCCTGGCCTTCTATGTGGCTTCCGTGACCTATGGGGGCTGACTCTGCCCCCTGCTGCCACTCCCACAGACCAGGGCTGAGCTACCCCTGGACAAAGGCCTCAGTTACTGGAGCTCAAAGTGGCTTCTGCTTTCCCTTCTCGGGGTGCCCCTAGGCTGCAAGCTCTTTACTATAGCTTGTGCTGATTTCTGTCTGCCTTAAGTAAGTACCTACTCACCTCTGACCACCTTCTTGTGCTATTCTGCACTGGATGGAGGAATGACGTTTCTCTTCCGTCTTTCTGATCACTGATGATTTTGTTGCCCTTTAGGGGGCAGCTGGTAGAGCAATGATAGAGCCTAGGCCTAGAGTCAAGAATTCCCGAGTTCTACCTTCACACTTATTATCAGTTGTGTGACCCCGAGTTCTAGCCTGTGAGTCCCGAGTTCTAGCCACAGACTTATTAGCTGTATGACCCTGGGCAAGGCACTTAGCCTCTGTTTGCCTCAGTTTCCTCATCTGTAAAATGGGGATAATAATAGTACCTACCTTTCAGGGTTATTGTAATGATCAAATGGGAAAATATTTATTAAAAAGAAAAACACTTTGTACAGTACCTGGCACATGGCAGGCACTATGTTAATGTGTTATTTCCTTCTCCCTCTTCCCATTTAGATATATACTGGAGACTACGTGGGACTGCTGGGTTCCTCTGTGATCATTCCCATCACCATCCTAACCAGAAGTGCCCAGAGCCAGAATCTGAACCCTGGTGACATCAGTGTGACATCTGCTGTCCTGGGGTGCCTCTCATGGATGTGGGCTTAGTGGTGAAGGGCCCATATTCATTTACAGTGTTTCTGAATGATCATTCTCAGTTACAGAATACTCCAGCTGTAACAGGGGTAGGAGAACAGAGGCTAAATGTATTTTAACCTCAGACAACATTCTGTAAATTCTTAAAAACAAAACACAATCCACATTTTCTTCTGTGATTCATCTTCTTCTTATCAAAGCTACAAGCTTAAAGATATAATTCTGCCTAGATGTGAGTTCTCAGCTCCGGTGCCACTACCTACCTGAATATGTTCCCTCCCTCTCTTCCCCCCAGTTATTAGGGTCTGTTCCCATCTCAAATACGTTTTCTTCATTTTTGTCTCTGCATCTTCAGTGCCTACCACTGGGCTTAAAACATAATAGACAGATACAGAATCAGTATCTGCTGGAAATGGCATGAATTAATTGAAGCTCCGCTTTCTGTGGTCATTCCCCATCTCTTCTGGCTTTATCTAACACCTCACATAAACGACTAAACATAAACAAATGAGGATGCTGATCAAAGCGAGGCGATGGTTGAGTTGGTGGGTTTCTCTCTGAAGTGTGAACTCAGAGCTCCCCCTTAAATTCCAGGATTTCAATCTCCAGTCCTTTGTTCACAGACCATTTTAAGATGCAGAGCCTGAGCAGGGGTCAATACTGGTCGACTAGGTCCTCCCCCAGCTAACTGCCTCAGGAGGCCCCAGGCTTCACTAACAGAGGCTTCCACGTCTGCCCGAACATCAGCAGTAATTAATTTAAGTTAATCTAGTTGTGCCTTAATTACAGCAAAGTCTCAGATTTCGCTTTGTGTGCTGGCTGCATGTAGAAAACAAAAACAAACTCAACAGTTAAGTGACAAAATTTGTCGTAAAACTGATTTTCAATCCATTGTCCTTTCTACCCATCACCAACCATATCTCAATAGAGGAGGCTGATTTATGGCTGATATGCTATTTTTTCAGGCTGTCAAAATGATCAAACAGAAATACTGAGTGGAAAACACAGGACTGCCATGGGCTAACATAATGGTGGGGAGCAGACTGCTTTATCCTTTCAATTCAGGAAAAACACAATGCCTACCTTCTTGCCTTCTCCATATATAAGGGGAAACTTCAGGTCATCATCCTCAATGGTTTTGTATGCCCTGTGGGGGGATAAACAACATTAAAAAAAAAAAGAGGTTTGCACTCAATTAGTGACCCACTGCCCTGACACAGGTGGCTAGGTACTCAATTTTCCTAGAGATTCCATCCTTTTACTACACTGCCAATCTCCTTTGCTATATGGAATTATTTTATCCACAGATTTGTGCTGGTGTGCTTTAAAAAAAAATGGACAAGCTAGAAAATGCCAAGTATTTAAATGTGAAACTAGGCTGTTTCGCTGCAGAAAATAAACGGCTACGTTGAAATTAGCTAGAGGTTTCTGTCCCGAGCATTAGGCATTCAGTAAAATAAAATTACGAAAACCAAGGATTGGATGCCTGCTATTAATCTGAAACTGTGAGAGTACATAGGTGGATGGAGTGTGAAATGGTTCCAATTTCCAGCCTAGGGGCTGTTTACACAAAAGTCAGCTTACCCTGGTTTGAGAATGGATATTTAGAGCATATCTGACCTTGAGTACCATGGAATGGAAGAGAAGAGTATTTATTAAGCGTTTACTTGTGTTCAGAGGATTGTGCTAAGTGCTGAGGATAGAAACAGAGAAAATCAGCAGGCTACACTCTCAAGGAGCTCACATTCTGATTAGGGGAGACAACACACGTAGGAGAGCTCAGCAGCAGTGCAGAAGGAAAGGCCCCAGGATGCGGAGGGCACGTAAGCAGAGCAGATGATGAGACTTGGCGGGTCTTTGGGAGCAATGGGAGGGCAGATAGATGGTTAAGGCCCAATGATTCCCTCCTCTTCCTGAAATCATGATAGCTGGTAATGCTCTACTTTTTAAAGTGGTATAATGGGAAATATTCCTGAGGATTGGAATGACACAGGGTTCTGGTTGTTTATAGTAGGGGAGGTAAATGGGGTGCAGGGAATGTCAGTATCCTGACAGAGGTAGCTTCCCAGTGCCTAGTAGGAACTGCATAATGGTGTCTACAGTGGTAGAGACAAAGGGCTCCCTATAGCCTGTTCCTGCAGGGCATTCACTGGGATCTGGGCAGCTATGGCGGGACTGAAGTGGGTCCCTGGTGGGCTCTGGGCTGGCTGAGATATTCAAGATTTGAATACATTTTCTGGCTTGCAATAATTCCAAAAGAGATTGGACAGAAAGAGAAGCAAGTTTATACTTCAATGGTTTAGTTGGAAGGGATGATGGATGTGGGTTCACCAGTGCCAGCTCTGCTACTGGCGACCTTGGGAAAGTTACCTATCTCTCTGAGCCTTATTACTCACCTGAGACTCAAAGCTAATGAAAATAATAATGCTGGCATGCCCCATCTCATTGGATTGCTGTGAGGATAAAGGGAGAGAATGTATATAAAGTACTCTGCAACTGGAAAAGTATTACATTCACATGAACTGCCATCGTCATTCCCAGACAGGGCTGGTCAGATGCCACTTTCCCCATATCCGAGGCAAGGAAACAAAGAAAACCATTCTCTTTTTTTTTTTTTTAAGGCAATTGGGGTTAAGAGACTTGCCCAAGGTCACACAGCCAGCAAGTGTTAAGTGTTTGGTCTGAGACCAGATTTGAACTCAGGTCCTCCTGACTTCAGGGCTGTTGCTCTATCCACTGTGCCTCCTAGCTGCCCCAAAGAAAACCATTCTTTGCCATCTTGCTAGCCAAGAAGAAATACAATAGTTTCAATGGAGGTGCTCAGAGAGTGACCTGGAACTTAGCAATACATGGAAAGACCCAAGATAACAAACAACACTCCTAGTTTAGGAAGGATTGTCTGGTGGACAACTGGAGTGAAAGTCAAGAGACTGGTCTCAATAAGCAAATGAGCTTCTTGGTCAAAGTTTTTCTTTCTACAAAATGGCGATATCACTGTTTCAGAGAGATGCTGTGAAGGCCAGTTAAGTAATGGGTCAAGTTTGTAAAGCCAGCCTGTTGGTCTAACTTCTTAGAAGCTCTTCCAAAATTCACTGACTTATTCTATTAAGTGAATAACATAAAGGTAATTGTTGCCCCAATGGCAACTGTACTAGTGTACTACCACCCACCACCACCATTACCAGATAACTTTATATGGCACTTTGTAATTTGCAAAGCATTTTACATACATTATTTCATTTGACCTAGCGGGAATAAAAGGGTGATTAATCTAGAGGTGAGTTGGAATTCAGATTTGTGAACCATGTACAAGTGAAAGCTGCCTAGGCCTAGAGTTTAAACTGGGAAATCTACACATTGAAATGGGGAGAAACTCTTGCTCTTGATGGGAGGTCGGAGCTAAGATATGCCTTTGGGAACTCCAAAGGCGAGTATGACAGCATTCTAAGAATCACACTGAAGTCTAAATGGAAACAGCTCTCTAATCTCCACTCCCTTTCTTAACCAAACTCCTAAATAAGGTTGGTATACTCAATATCTCCACTTCTCCTCTTGCTCACTCCTCAACTCTAGCTTCTGCTATCATAACTTAATTGAAATTTATCTCTCCAAATTACCAATGATTTCTTAATGGTCACATCTGATAGGTTTTTTTTTTTTCCATTTTCTTTCTCTCAGTCTTGGCTCATCCTTCTTAAACTATTTATTGCACCTGATACTGCTGACCACCTTCTCTTATCTTGGCTTCTGTGATACTACTCTCTCCTGGTTCTCTTCCTGTTTAATCACTCAGTTTCCTTTGCTGATTCATAAACCAGACCACTTCCCTTAAGTGTGGCTCTAATTCATTGAGGCTCTAATCTAGGTCCTTCAATCTTCTCTCTCTACACTCATTAACTTCCCTGTTTAATGATCATCTCTATACTGATGACTCCCAGATCTACACATTCAGCCCCCGTCACTCTCCTGAGCATCAGTCCTGCCTTACCAGGTGCCTCTTGGGCATTTCAAACTGGACATCCTAGAAACATCTCAAACTCAGTATGTCCAAAATAGAATTCATTATCTCCCCACTCCCAAACCTACCACTCTTTCAAACCTTCCCTATTTCTGTCAAAGACACCATTATTCTTCCAGTCACCCAGGTTTGTAACCTCGGCCAAGGACCACAGCTGTGCCCAAGAGTCCCAGGAATAACTACATCCCCCAAGGCCACTGGCTCTGTTTTTAGTTCTTTCTTTCCCCTTCTCTTGCACCTCAAGTGGTTAGAAAACCAGATCTGGGGCCAGGGAGACCTGATTTTTGACGCACACTGCAAATCATTTAACAATTTTAAGTTGTAGGGAGGGTGCTGACCTGCTTTGGGAGAGGGCAGCCTCCTCATATGGTAGTTCCCTATACTAAATGAAATCACAGGTCTAATCCCTATCCTCTATTTCTATTTTATTAAAAAATTAACTTGGAACACCAGTGCAACCAACTAACTCTGTCTCGTGATGATTTACAGTTAACTTCAATGCATTCGTTAACCATTCTTCAGTCATCTCCCAAGTCCTCATTGGGATTCTTTGTTTATTCATTTATTTTAATTCACTTTTCTTCTTATGTGGCCCTGGCTAGTGTGGTGGGGAGTGAGCCCTTCATTCCTCTGGCTTTGCTTTTTCCGCTTTGCATTACTTCACTATCTTCTTTCCAGGTTTCTATGTATTCCTTTTTCTTGCTTACCTAATGGCATTATAGTATTCCATTAATGGATTTAGATTAATATGCCATCATTTATTTAACCATCTCTCTTTTGTTGGGCAGTTAGGTTGTTTCCAGTATTTCTGTGACAGCATATAATGCTGCTTTAAAAGTCTTTGAACAGACGGCTCTCTTTTTTTCTTTAATTTTTATACTTTCAGGGTTTCCTAGGGTTTGAATGGATTTGCAAGCTACACAATCGACTAGCAGCAGTTAAATTATTCAACTCATTGACTCAGCCCTCCACTACGTGCCTTACGTGGTGTGGGACAGACACACAACACTCTCTCCCTCCCCTCTTCCCCAGCAACATAGCCCCTGTCCTAACTATTTACCTGGGGAAACAGGATGTACACTTGGGTAATGTCAAATAACAAACATGAGGCCGTTAGTTTGCACACCTACCTCAGTGATTTATCATTATGAATTGGGCAAAGGGAGACAACAACTATGGGCCGGGCTGGCCAGTTAAGCCTTCCAGGAACACAGGAAGCTTTGGCGGGTGGGGATAATCTGAGTAGAGGGATCAGTTGGCAGCCCAGGAGAGGGGACTAGCATGAGCCTGGCCCATTCCGGAACAGGAAAAGCCTGGCTTCACTGGAGCAGAGCAACTTGGAATAGGGCAAAGAATACAAAATAGTCAGAAGAACTGGGTGAAATGCCCAGTTTTGCCAAATGCTAGTTATTGTGATTTTGGGCAAGTTCCTTCAAATGGGCTGTGCAGTGAGTTGAGAGCTAAATCTGGAGTCAGGAAGACACAACTTCAAATCTGATCCCAGGATTTTATTAGTTCTGTGACTCTGGACAAGTCATTTAATCTGTCTGCCTCAGTTTCCTCATCTATAAAATGAGGGTAATAATAGTATCTACTTCCCAGGGTCGTTGTGAGGATCAGATGAGATTTTTTTTTTTGTTTTTTTTAAGGCAATTGGGGTTAAGTGACTTACTCAGGGTCACACAGCTAGTATCAAGTGTTTGGTCTGAGGTTGGATTTGAACTCGGGTCCTCCTGACTTCAGGGCTGGTGCTTTATCCACTGCGCCACCTAGCTGCCCCTTGATGAGATATTTTTGTAGAGCACTTTGCAAACCTTAATGCATAATATAAATGCTGGCTATCATTGGTCTTATTATTATCATGTACAATGAGGCCGGAGGGTTAACTGGATGATGTTGAAGATTCTGCCTAACTCAAGCAGCAGACAGCTCTGCAAAGCTCTGTTCTGAGCTGGAGAGCAGTGGGAAATGAGGTTACATAAGCTGGCTGAGGAGGTCAGGTGATGGAGATCCTGGAAAGGCAGGCAGAGGAATCTGGACTTAATATGGTAGGCAATAGAGAGTGACTACTGGTTCAATGATTGGAGAATGCTTTGAGCTCCACAGAGACGGGCCTAGGGTAGTTTTAA